ATTCCTTTTTGTTGCCCCCCAAAAGCGCGTATCATTTCATTGTTTCCGAAGAAAGACCCCTTTTGTTTCTATCTTCATTTCTATTTTCTTTATTGTTTTCCAAAGAAAGTTCCTTTTTGTTTCATTGTTTTCTAATACCTTTTGTATTCCACAGATCCCTGCAAGCCATGGGCACGTGGGGCACAGTGGGTGTGGTGGGGGCGGCGGCTGTTGCCGGGGTGGCCATCTTGTGTAACCTTCCCACAAACCCCTTCGTTCGTGCGCCCCAGAAGGCCACGCTGGAGTACCTAGAGCAGACGCAACTCCAAACTTTTGGAAGTGAACCCAAGCATTTTCAGGTAGATTGTGTGTGCGTGTGTCTAACTGTGTGTGTGGGTGTGTGTTTGTGTGTGTGTGTGTTTGTGTGTGTGTGTGTTTGTGTGTGTGTGATTGTTTGTATGTGTGTGTGTGCGCGCATGTGCGCACGTGTGTAATAATTGTGGAAGTTTTTCACCCCTACCAACACAATGTAGTCCATTTAGGAGGTGGATGGTTTTTATGTGTGTGTGTGTGTGTGTGTGTATGTGTGTGTGTGTGTGTGTGTCTGCATGTGTGTGTGTCTGCATGTTAGTGTGTGTGTATGTGTGTGTGTGTGTGTGTGTGTGTGTGTGTGTGTGTGTGTGTGTGTGTGTGTGTGCCTGCATGTGCATGTGCATTGAATGTATGTAAACTGGTTGTTTGTGTGTGTGCACAAGTGTGTGTGTTTGAGAGCCATTCTTATTGACCCATTGTATGAAATAGTATTTTTATTATATCTGTCTTCCAGGCTACAGATTTATGGCGAGAGAATGGTGCTGTCATAATGGCTGTCCGCCGGCCTGGATGATCTTTGTGCAGAGAGGTGGGTGGATTTGGGATCAAAATCAATGTCTTTGTGACGGCTACATATTGCCTCACATTATAAAAGGATTGACACTTGTAAAGAAGACGGAACACACGTCCTCTTTGCTCGCCCACCTGCGGAAAACTGGTTTATTCAAATTCATTGTTTTTCTTTTACAATGAGATCTCGAATTCAAAACGAGACCATACGTGACATGTCAAGAAGGGGAAATAACCGTGATATCAAAGAATTGTTATTGCAACATTCGCAACATAGTCCAGTCCCATTTTTACACTTCATAACAGCATTCATTCATTACAGTCTTCATCGACTGCTTGGTGTAAGTGTTATTTCTCAGCATGCTCTCTCCATCTTTTGATTCTCTCTTGTGTAGTTCCAGTTTTAGCTTATATGAAAGAATTCTTTGTTCTCCTCATCCTACTTCTAGCTTATATTTGAAGTCCATTTTTGTCTTACAAAATGATCGTAATATATTTATTTCAGGCTTTAGTTTTAGTTTTAGTAGAGGTTTTACGGCGCTCGCAACTGCATAAGGTCATATGAGCGCCAGAAGATTAGAGGTGTTACAAGAGAGTAACAAACATAAAAAAAGAAAAAGGGGGAGATAAGGAAGATAGATGTTTGATAGGAAAGAAGTAGCAAACCACACCAGAGCACCCGCCAATCACCCACTGTGTCAGGCTTGTTTTTTTAGTGCAGCTGTGGTATTTTCTACTTTTTTTGCTTTCCGTCTGTGGTTTCTGTCTTCCTGTCTTGCCCTCTCTGTAGCTCTGATGAAAAGTTATGGCGTTGATATTATGCTTCTCTTGAGTTAATAATAAATAGTAAATGGCATTGTTTAATAAACGCATTCCCCCGCTCAACAGCAAGCTCGATACGCTTAAACTTAAACTCAAACTAAACATAGCAGCTTAAAAATTTTAAGTGCACTCTTGTCACATGATACAGCTCTTTTAGTGTCCACCTTTTCTATGCAACACAGTAACTTTTAAGGAACACTTTCATCACTCGCTCAACATTGTTAATTCAAGTCTACTTCGCCCTCCATCTCCCTTTTAAAATTTGAAAAGTACACCTTCATCACTAAACATATCGACTTTTAAACTTCACCCCCCCACCCCCCAAAGTAAATTTTGTTGCTACATACATATCATAATATTCTCTCTCTTAACCCCCCCCCCCCCCCCCCAAGCACAATGAAAAAGACCGTTTATTTACGGTCGGGAAACAGCGAAACCAGTCACAGAAAGAACAAAGGGAAAGAACACAGGCCGGACCTTTGGGTGGTCCTTTCCAAAAACGCAGGGGGGGCGTTCGTTAGTCATGTTTGTTTGTTGGTGGTTGTTTCATTCAGTTTTGTGGGTGGTTGGGGTGGGAGCAACCGCCTGCGTACGGACGTAGTGAACGCGTGGGACACATACATACATAC